AACTTTCAAGCTCCTAAGTATTAGAAAATTCCTGTGTTTGAAATTACTCATGTACAAATTTGATGCCACATGCTCCCTTTAATGCAGGTTTTGCAGTAGAGAAGCAGATACAAATGGTGACATAGAGCTGAGAACAAGTGAAGCACGTTCACCTTTCCTGTCCATGCAGGAGGGGCAAAGTGACAGCCACAGAGTTGTTCAGGAGCTGTTCCCAGTGGGATGGGAAGAAGCTTCCCCTTCATATCAAACAGGCTGTATCAAACTAAGCTGTTCTTAGTCACCTTCTGGGGCCACCTAGTGCTGCACAGGATTTGGAGACACTTACTGGGTTCAGCAGTTATCAGCAGTATGGACATGTGTGGCAGCAGCAGTGAAGGAAACATCCCCTAAACCTTTTTGAAGAGTTGAAGGAGGGAGTGCCCTTAGCCTTTACCACACCTGTAAACAACATTCTTGTGTCAATAGCTTTCACAACCCCCAAGAGAGACACAAGAATAGTTCAGTCGTCATAAACTGCTTGAAACATTGAACATCTAGACTTCACTGTTGAGGAAGTATCTTTAGGCCTTCCTTTTATTGCCTCTTAATGTGCCCCCAGTTGGTATCCTTCAAAGGATATTAAACTAAATACAGCAAATATCTAAAGATTTCACGTGGTCATTTTGCTGACACAGTAACAGGCACTTCAGATATAAATCTGTACACATTGTCTCATGTATATTCTTTCTGGGGTTACATTACTGTTCTTTCTCACAGTCTTTAGAGCCTTTAGTCTTGGACAGATGTTCCACACCTGTATAGTAAGGGCAATGAAGAATGATATATATAAATGGGTCACAGCACAGTCCCTAACTCAAAGATTGCATCATTCAGTTACAGGATAGAGATGCCATCAGGTTAAAAATAGGGAGGAAAGTGCAAAAAAAGCTGTTTTATCTACCACGCATGCAAAAGGCAATAAACCTACAGTAATAGCTGTAATGAGTTGGAGTACTTCCCTGTCCACTTGATATTATCTTTGTAGTCTTTAATGCTATGCAGAGCTTTGAAAGGATGATGTGCAAGCTACTGTTACTGGTGTTCAGGGCTGTTTGGTGAGGACAAGTAAAAGGAGAAGATAAAAAGGTCCCTTTGGTTAGGTTAAGAATCCTAATAATCTGCAAGGTGTCACCTCTCAAATTATCATTTGTGTTCTGCCAAGAAGGAGTGAATTAATACAGTGTACATCTTTCACTATTGCACATTTACAACTGTAAGAAACATGCAAAGTATGAATTTGGGGGAAATGACCCTTGCCTCTTAACAGCCTAAGAGGGTTGGTTTCCTGTAGTCACTGAGTGAAGAGATATGCTGGCATAGCTTGACACTTTTATATGACCTACTGACTAGCTGAAATTGTTTACTCTGAGTTGTCTGAATTTTTTAGCCAGAGGAATTAACAAGAGGAAAAAAGGCCAGTGGTGTATCAAAAGCACAAGTGGATGGGTGTAGCTAAGCTAGTAGGGAATGTGGCCACCTGTGGAGTGATTCCTTCAGAAGCAGACAAGAACCAAGCACTGGTGCTATGCATGGCAGGGTTTGCAGCTGTGTGTCCAGGAGAGCCATTTCTGTGCTTTGGGGCAGTGCAGTTTGGCCTGTGAGTTCTTTATGGACTGTGGCTCGCTCCCTGCTGATGATGTGCTACTATTAAGGGTGTAAACAGATGAGATTTATCTTTCCGAATCTAGCCTGTTTCTCCCTCTACTTTGGACGTGTGGTGTCTTAAATTATATCACTTTTTTTCCTGATACTGAGTTATTATCTCCTGTTTGGAGGGAGAATGCTTTATATCCTTCTTTGCTCCTTTGCTTTTTCTGTGTGTTGGCTTGCTGAACTGAGTTTCATCGCCAAGTCTATTAGTGCTGGTAATACAAAACTCTCCTACAAATCCCCCTAGGCACTGCTGTCATAAGACATTTTTGCATTTTTAAGACCCTCCCTGCTAACTATAGAGTGGATGAAGGCATCAAGAAATTTTAATTTGATGATAAATTCTTGTGGCTACTCATGCAACTTTGTTAAGTACATAAAAACAGATTTTTTTCCCTTGGGGCACCACGGATGGTGTCTGACATTTCAAGGCTATCAGGACTTCCTTGTCTCCCTAGTTTCTTTAGGATGACATGTATTTCTGCATCTGTCTGATCTTTATTTTGCTTTCCTGTCTCAGTTAAGCATCGCAATAAGAACTCTTTGTACAGTTGGTTGTGTTTATTTTCCTTTGCTCCTTGGAGTCCTTTATACCTATTTCTAGTCATGTTTCAGTCTGATTTTACTGTTAAAGGGGCATTGGAAGAAAATTCTATCCAGTTCTGAGAACAGCTTACCAGTCCAGCAATGGCTCATTTTTCTTTCCCAATAATAGTAGTGTATATTTTGCATTTATGGGGTTTCAGAAGTTTATGAAGAAACTTTTTGGGCCCTTTGTTTTGCTCTGAGAACCTGTGAACTGATTAAAAAATGCAATGCAATATAATTTCATGCCTCCAGTACCCAACCCATATAAGCATCTGTTAAGCTTTCAGTGTTAATAGGCTTAAATTAAAATACTAGCTAACTCATCTGTGCAGTCTTACTTTCACATCTGCCAGTTATTATGTAGAAAACATTTTTGCTCAGGCTCCCTAGTAAGTATTTGAACATGCAGTCCCCTCCCCTCGTTGGTGTTGTTAAACAGAAAAATCTGCAGATTTCCATGTTCTGAACTCAGAATAACCACAGGTACTCCTAGTCCAGTGCAATATTGGGAAAATCTTCTTTCAGTATGGGAGTGGAGATGATTTACTCATTTGCTCAATGACAAAGATTCAGTGGAAAAGGTCTGGTTATGAAAATTCTTATTTCATTTTTTCCTCTCCCTCAATCTGATGGCAATAATTTGTATGTAAGAAGTCTGACTTGGAGAGGACTGTTTTGTTCTGTAAATTGATAGATTTTTCATAGGTAGGGCATACAGTCAAATAGGGCCCAGAAGTCATCACTATCCATCAGTTATAGAGAAATTGTATTATGTTTCCTGCCCACTTTTTAATAGAAAAATGTGTGCCTCACACTATCTGCTGTCATGTTCAGCAACTGCAAATAAGTAGTAATGGATGGGACATATAAGCCACGTGTTCAGTTTCTTTGTCTTAAGCCTTGTATTGAGTTCAAGCTCAGTGGTGCCTCTTCTGTGAAGGAAAAAAAGATAAGTGCTACTACTTTCAGAAACTTTAGTTCACTCTTACTATATTTTTTTTTCATTAATGGGGGGGTGTATATTCTATATATGCAATAATACTAGCTTAACCACTTACCTCAAATGGAAGGATAAGGCTTTACATACCTTTTTCTTAAATTATGTATCTGGACCCATGTTAATTTTTTTTTCCATGCTTCTCTATTTCCTGTAGCTGGCAGCTTTATTTTGTTGGTGTTTGTACTAGCGTGCAGTATAATCAAGTCTGTTACTCTTCCGCTTGTAACATTGTAGTCCTAAAACAATTGCAGTTCATTTTACTGTAGAAAACACAATTATATTGGCTGTTGTGCTATTTTACCAACACATATTCTTCGCTACCTGCTGTATTTTCATCAAGGTTCATGGCTATAAATAATTATTTTGGCTTTTCCTTCTTTTTATTCCTTTTGAATTAATTTAAGCTTTTTGTTGTTGCAACTGCCTAACAGTAGCAGACTTCATTACAGAAGTTCTGGTTCTAAAGGATAACCAGCTCTTTCAGTTTCTTCTTTGAGACCTGGTTTTAAATTAAATTATACTGACCAAGCCCTTATCTCACTGGTATGAAAGTGGACTGCTGCCTTTGATGCAAGTTTCTAATGGAGTTTGAGACCTTGCCAGATTGCCGGAGTGCAATCAGCAAAGAAGGATTATACTGTCAAGAGTGTCAGCTGAAAAGATGGTTCTCCAGAAAAAGTTTATATGGTTCTGTTTGATCTGAGGATGCTATAACAGATTATGTAGTCTTTGATTCCTCTATTCATTGATCAGTATTTAAGCATGTATTCATGCACATGTATAAATGCATCAGTCGTTTGCAATCTGAAGGAAAATATGCAATCAGAAAGATTTGTGACACTTTAAAGTCTTTGAGCACTCAACTAAAGGGAAAGCAAGGCAGAAGCCTTATTTCTTCTGATTCCTTTCTTTTGATTGAAATAATAAAATGCATATACTATTTCTTCTCTTTATTCACATTTCTTTTCTGCACTTATAGCTTGTCCTTTTCAAAGCAACTATATACTTGACTTTTCCCTTACTGTCATTCTGCTCTTGAGAGGGATGTAGAAGTGACTCACTTTCTGCCTAATGCTGCTCTAATTGGTGACTCATCTGCTCATCCCACCATTAGTGGTCTTTTATGCACTGAAGTTGATCAGTAGGTATTCCATGTAGTTTCCTATTTAGACACAGACAAATACAGTGCTGTTCTTGAGGCACAAATGTGCCTGGCCTGTTTGGCAACAGCTTTCTGATGTTTTCCCCAATCAACTGTTACAAAGAAAAAGGAACAACACACTGACAGATCCTAAAGGAAAAGGGGTGTATCTTCCCAGCCAAAATATTCAAAAGCTTCTGGAAGACTTTTACTCCTGAACAGGGATAGTGCCTCTGTCATTCAAATCTTTGACACATGAAGCTTCTAAACATGAGAAAAGGGCAATTTCTATCATTATGTTAAACCTGAAAAAGCCTTTGTATATCAGGCCTGTCATCAATATGTGTTACCTCCAATTTTTTAGCACATCCTTTCCAGCTCTCCTATTCAGAGCCTTTGTCATCAAATCTAAACATGGCATTGAGCATTGAATTAGCATTCAGAAATGCCCATCTTCATCTGGCTCACAGCATCTCTTGTGATCCGCACTGCTAATTCATACAGTACCTGGATTTTTAAAAAAAATGTTGTTTTTAACATTATATTTAACAGTAACTGGAGGTATTGCTTGTTTCTGTTTAGATGAGAGTCCTTACACAAAATCTGCAAACCAGGCAAAGGCACCTGATGGAGCACTGTCTGTGAGGAGACAGAGTATTCCAGGTAAGACTTGCTTCCCTTTTTGTAATGACTAACTTGTTTTTGAACAGCAAGATAATACTAATCAAAATTCAACTAGTTATAAGAAATGTATTACAATTGCTATCAAGCAACTTTATAAGGAAAGTTCCAAGAGAGCTGTAAGTAGTTTCCACAGTTAGGTTGTCTCAAGCTTTTGCTGCGAAGAGCATCTCCATATCTCTGTCTTTTGCAGCAGATTTGAGACACTGAGCACAAACACCTTTTCATCAGAGGCTTATATATTTTCAGGCCCTCTCAAATCTGTGTTTTGGTATCTGGTTTGGATAGCAGAGGGAGATTGGCTCATATTTTCCACTACTCATCAGCCAGGCTCAGAAGTTTAACAGAGAAACACTCTGGCAGAGTTCTTGTCTTCATGTGACTTTCTGTCACGTGTAGAATCACTTGTCCATCACAGTCTTTTGTGTCATCGCATCGCACAAAGCTGGACCATTGGATCAATGGTTAGTTAAAATAAGTGATCTTTCAACCTGTGTCTCCTTTAATTACTTCAGACAAGTCTGATATACGTACAAGTTTGATGTGTAGACTGTGCAGCAATCTAAAGGGATTTTCACCTCAAGTAATATTTTAGAGACCTTTTAATGAAGACAAATGAACGCTGACAAAGGTTGCACTCGGGTGGAATTACTGATGTTGCTGTTCTCACCTCAAGCACGGTAACCTCTGACTCAAAGGGAAGATGCATTGCAATAGAAATCAGAAGCTGTAAGGTCACGTCACCCACCTTCTAATGGTAAATATTGCCTGTGCTAAGTGGTTTTATTATTGAACAAAGACACACAACCCACAGAGAGTCTGTGGATGGGGGATGGAGCTCAGACCTTTGCACTTCTAGGCTCTGATCACATCCCAATACCTATAGTGAACAGCCAAAGCACATTTTGTGGATGCTTTGTGTGCATGTTTCTATGTGTGAGAGAGAGCAGGCTGGCTTATTTAGTGTTACTTATAATGAACATTCTTGTTCAATATTGAAAACATCCTAGTGATTTAAAAACTGTTATTTTTATGGTAGAATTATGAAGATCATAACCACTGTGAAAAGACATCACTACAGCATCCAGTATGCAGTTATTCTTCTAAGAAAATATTTAATTATACAAACATCAAGCAGTTTTTTTAATCCAAGTCAATACAAATTGATATTCATTGTTCTTCAAAGTGAATGAAGACCTCTATTGGGTACTTTTCAGGTAATACTTTAGCCCATAGGCCAAATATTTATGGCCTTGAAAGTATTCAACCTTTTGATTTTTTTGCTGTGATCGTAGTAGTTATCATTTATAGTGTGGTTACTGTGTTTATAAAACACCAAGGTCTGAGAACAGACCGAAGTTGGTAGTTTCACATGACATTTTGAGAAATCCTGATGATTTTTGCTTGTGTTCTTTAATGAGAAAGTTTGGTGATAATGTACTGGCACAGCTTTTTTTCAAAGCATCTGATAAGATTAGGAATCTCAAGTGCTGAGTAATAGTCATCATGACTAATGACCATTTATTTTAATTTTTTTACCATTTTGCTGCACATTCTGGAATTTTTGAGAGCACTGCAGGTAAATTTTTACTGTGTGCTCTGCATAAGTCACAGTTTATTCAGAGAGATAATACAAGTGTTCAGTGAGATGTGCTTTGCTGTATTTGAGATGTTCTGAAAACAGCTGATTTAAGCTTATGTATATTCTTTAGCTTTTAATATAGTTATGACATTTATCTGAATGCCTTGTTCCATCTCTAGACCTTAGGAACCCCAAAGGATAAATGAGATAGAGCTGATTGGATACTTAAAAAAATTCTAATTAAAATTATTCATGCCCTAGCAAATTATCATTGTAGCGCAACGGATGTTGTGGGTTTAGATACATAAAAGGCTTTGCAAAACTAGGCATTATTTTGAGAATTAACTTGAATATTTAGGAGTCGACTGAAGTTTCTGAAAATAGCCTATAAACATTTATATCACTTGACACCACGTTTTGTATGTGAGATAGCACCTTAAATAGTTTCTATTCTTGCTTGTGTGTGAGCATTTTATTCACATTGTGGATTAGTCTTGGCAGAGGTGCAGAAGCATCCCAGCTAGCCAGCTTCATTTGGCAATAGGAAGTTCACTATTAAATGGTAGCATTAATTAGTACAGGACCAGAAGCAGAACAGCTGCTTTTGCTTGGGAGCAGGATCACATTTCTGACGTTATGTAGGTCAGCTCCAAATAGCTTTGGAATTGGAAGGTGTGATGCAATGAACCCAGAAATTCTGCTGGACCTGGATGGGAACATGTCAGCTGGAGTTACTGTCAGTAATCCTCACATGGAGATCCTATCCTATATGGAAAGCAATCATTTCTATCTTCCCAGATGGTATGCCTGATAACACATAACATTCCTGAGCTGCTGTTTTTTCGAGCTTGAGGCATGGGAGTACCTTTGACAGTGTAGCTGTCTATTCCACTTGGTGTTCTGTCATTCCTAAGACATGGACAGCAGATGTTCTATTCCCAAGGAATGCTCTGCCCATTGAATTAGCCAAGAGAAAACTTCTGGGTTTTAGCAAGATAATTGATTGCATGCAGAGTTTTGCACAGGTTTGAGCAGTCTGTGAAAAAAATACTAGTGAAAATATACAGGGTGTGAGATACAAATCTTCCAGCCTGGTAATGGGATCGTGGCATCTCCCTGTGTCTGGTGAAAGTTCCTTCTCCTGACATTTGAATTCACTTTAAAGGATTTCACTGCTCCATCTTTTTGACAACTATCAAAAAGGGGAGCTTTTGTTGCTGTGAGGCCTGAAACTACTATACTAGCTGCAAACCTCTAGAGGTGGGTTTTATCCTTCCATGTGAAACTGTATTGAAAGAGCAGTATTGATGAGCACTGACTGAGTGCACAGAGAAGTAATGTAATTCTGTAGAGGTTACATGGAGCTCAGGCTTGGTTTATTTTACAGGAAAAAATGTTGAAATAATCATTTTATAATTAAAGTCAAATGAGCACATACTGTGCGATCAGTGCACTGAGTTTAATTCCTTTCATCCCCAGAAGGAAGGAATGGATTAAGCATCTCCCTGGAGCAGAACTTGCTTTTTTGAGATGCAGAATGCATTATTCATGTGATGAGACTACATGTCATATTTACCATGTCTTCACATGGTGCAAAATCAACAAGCAACAGATCCTTTCAAAGGGATTTACAGCATTGCTGAAATAATAGTTAATTCAAATTATATGCATTAATATAATGCGGTTTGAAACTTGGACTTTTTTTTGCATATGTGTAGGTGTTTAGTTACAGTTACATATACATGATTGTTTGAAACGTTACTTAGCTTCACAGTCAAAATTTCTTAACTTAAAAGTAAGGCTTGAGGTAATGCTAGCATGAGAAGCAGCTTAGAGTCAGAAACAAACAGATTTTTCCCCTCTAAGCATTTAAATTTAGACTGTCAACCAGAATGTAACGAATTTTTGCTTTATTGCTACCCTGTCCTTACAGAAGCCAAGGGAGTGAGTGTATTGTGCCCTGCTGAAGAAACTGTCAGTGCAGGACTAGTGTTAAGGCACATAAATGAAAACAATCTGTTTCAGAAGTCGTGGGTAAGACCCTTCCCTCAGAATCACAGATGCAGCTAAAGACAGCTGTAATTTAAAATTGAGGTATTTGAATGCCAGCCTCTTGAATCCCTAGGTTTAGATGGATGTAGTTCCCACTGAGTTCCTGGACTGAGTTTTCCTGATTTGCCAAGAGTCCAGGCAGTGCCCAGCCAAGGGCAAGGGTAAGGGCGGTAGTGGGTGAGCCAAAGGTGTTGTTCCTGGCATTGCTTATTCCTGCAGGAGCTTTAAAAAGGACATCAGCTATTCCTGTGGCACTGCCACAGTGTCAAGAGCTGATGGCACTGTTCAAGAGGCGCTTTCAAGTGAAGGAGACCTTAATATTTACTTCAAGACAAGCATGTTCCTGTGCTGTCTTCAATATGGACAGGCTGGACAGCTGTTCCCATGATTTTCAAACTAAAATCCAATGTCCTCTTATCTGTTTTTACAACATGGGTAAATCAACAGTAATGCTGTGCAAACTGTTCACTTTATTCATCTCTTTCTTTGTTTTCAGTTCACTTACTGAAAACCGGGGGCATGGAGTGGAAAGAAGTGACCTGACGCACAAATAAAAATTACTGCTTTGTAAAATGAAAATAATACACCATAAATTTAAGACTGATTAAAATATTTCATAGAATCTGCAACAGAAGTTTCATTTTGTGTCCATATTTTTAACTGAGACTTAAAACTTACCATTGCTGAAAAAATGTAATAAAAAACACCACAGTTTTTTGAGGTGAAATGTTTTAGCTTCTCAGTGCTTCATTTTTGTTTTGTTTTTTTGGGAAAAGTTAATCTGTGCCCAATCTAGTCAGCATTAAATTTAAAAAAAAAAATTAAAAATCCACACTTTTTCCTTCTTCTGTCTACTGACTACACATGTGCACTGTCTCCAACTTCTGGCTATGTAAAGTCTTGTTGCCTGAAGTAGTCAAGGGCTCAGAAGAACTATAGTGTGAACTACACACTGGGAGAGCTATTTGAATCATCTGTGAATTCAGAGATTTTGTTTAGCCAGGACGATTGCAGTTGTGAGCTGTCTCTTTCCTAAGTAAATTCTTGTGCAAGAAACAGGCACCAAATAACAAAGATTAGCGGAAATATTTCCTCAAAGAAAGGAGTTTTCCTGTTTCCTGGGGCAGAAGAGTTGCACAGCTGCCTGCCTTCTGCCCTGATCAACACATCTAGCAGAAGGCCCTTGAAGTCTTGGACTCACCATGTTGTCCAATCCATGTCCCATGTCACCCTTGTGCTCCAGCTCTGCCTGCCTCTGGGGCCCACAGGAGCCTTCCCAGGTCTCATTCCAGCCTCTGTCTACTCCACAGTGATAATGGATCTGCTGAACAAATTCTCTGCATTTATG